GGTATAACATGTATTAGCAATAAAAAAGAATCTCAGAAAACTTGAAACACTGACATAAATTGAGAAAGAATATCTTAGATATGACAGCTAATCACATCGCAATCAGTTAGAAATTTTTAAAAAATCAGCATAGCTATGTTCTTTCTTTCAGATAATTTATGAAGAAAGTAAGAAGTCACATGATTAGAAAATGTCTTGAGTATAAAAATATGACATCAAAATATGTGGGCTGTAACTTAAACAGTAATTTAGAGAGGAACTGATAGATGTGAAATACTTGGACTAGAAAAGAAGAAAGGGTCATAATGAGTTGTTTCTGCTTCAATTTGACAAGACCAAAGAGGAGAAGGAAATCAAGTAGTAGAAGGGAATTAAGACCAAAAAAGAAAGACAAATCATTAGAAAAAATAAAACAATAAAACCCAAAATTCAGTTATCTAAAAGGTTATAAAAATCCCTAAGACTGATAAGAAAGATCATTTTAGATTTTCCAACATATTAACATAAGGAGTAAAGGTGATTCACTACAGACCCCACAGAAAGTAGAAGAAAATATGGTATATTATCAATTACTTGAAGCCAAAATTATTTACAGTGTAGATCAAATGGGGAAACCCAATGAAGAGACAGCTTAGCAAAATGGACACCTTGGAATTGAGAAATTTTCACTTCTTCTTTAAATGGTTTCCCACAGAGAAAACGTCAGATCAGGGTGATTTCTTTGCAAGTTATACCACACACTTTCAGAAAATAAGATGAGAAGAACTCTAAACAGCTTTGTTGTTGGGAATGGATAGAATCACCCTTTCATGGAGAGAGGCTCTGAGACTGAGAAAGTGTCTCTCCTGCTGTCCCCTGTGGTCACCTGCACTGTCCCTGGACTCGCAAGGGACGTCTCAGCAGGGTGCTGCCTGAGCACTGAGACACAGGGGACTGCGTTCTTGGGAGAAATTTAAAAATCCTTCTGTGCTTTGTTTGGACACAGGGGCTAGCACTGGGCCCCAAGTACCTGCTGGCCAAGCTGAAGGTAGAAGTCAGTGAATGGCTGGGCTATTTGATTCTGTCCCCCTTGCCCACAGGAACAAGGGAAAACAAATTTCTGTATATATAGTTACAGAGAGAGGATTGGGGCAGGCCAGCAAACCAAAGGTCACTTCTATTGTATGTGTAGAAAATATATGTTAAGTGAACAGATAGAAATGGGTTAAAAAATAAAGACTGAGGGATCAAAGAGGTAGCACAGTGGTTAGGGCACTCACCATGCATGCTGCTGACCTGGGTGACTCCCTGCACCCATATCATCCTCTGAGACCCCCCCCCCACAGAAGTGATCCCTGAAGACAGAGGCAGGGCAAGCCCTAAGCACTGCTGAGTGGACCCCCAAAAAACAGAAAGAAAAAAGAAAAAAAAAGGATTCCAAATAGATTTTTTGAGGAAATTTTCTTGAGCGGGCCCAGTAACGTCTCCATTGTGAGACTTTGTTGTTACTGTGTTTGGCATATCAAATACGTCATGGGTAGCTTGCCAGGCTTTGCCATGCGGGCGATATACTCTCAGTAGCTTGCCGGGCTCTCGGAGACGGGCAGAGGAATCAAACTTGGGTCGGCCATGATGGCTGCGTGCAAGGCAGACGCCCTACCCGCTGTGGAAATAGTCTACAAAAATAAATAAATAAATAAATAAATAAATAACTCTGTAATGTAATCTCTGGCAATATAGAATTCAAATGAAGGCCTGCAGTGTGAAAAGAACTCTTTTTTAAATTATGGTATTATGATACAGTCATCACGGAAATTAAACAGTCATATATCTGCACACCAGTTAAAATAAAGAAAAGCTATTAAGATGATTGGCCACATTGACAGATCTTTAATTCTAGTTGGAAATGTTGCTACATTCTCAAATTGTGAGACCAAATTGAGCCAATAAGTCAACCCATGGGGAATTTGACTTGGCTTGCTGAGTCCTGTCAATAGGTATTTATTTAGAGAACAAATTCGTTTCCATCAAAGAAGAAAATATCCCTTCAGAAACCCAGGAGACATTATAGCAGAACTTATTTATCTTGCCTAATAAGAAAAATAAATTGTCAAAGTAAAACTAACTGAGGCCCAAATTTTGATCAACTCTTAATAAAATAGAAATACCACAACAGATCAAAATAATCACCTTATGAAACTTGGAGAGTTTCTGATTTCCTTTGGTATCAAAAGAAAATGAAAATCAAAATTGTAGGCTGTTTTAAAATAGTGACAATGAATAACTACAAATTAAATGCTTTGAGATTGGACTAAAGCAGTAATTATAGGAATACTTATGTTCATAAATGCTTTTATTAGAAAATATAGCACTGTCTGTAGCAATGTCCTCCCGTTATTCATCTTTTTGCTCAAGCGGACCCAGTAACATCTCCATTGTGAGACTTGTTGTTACTGTGTTTGGCATATCGAATATGTCACAGGTAGCTTGCACGTAAGGCAAACGCCCTACCGCTGTGCTATCGCTCCAGCTTGGTAACAATTGAAAATCAAGAAAGAAGAACAATTTAAGTTAAACTTAACAAGGAATTTCTCAAAGTTTGTTAGATCAAAAACTAATAATAATATGGAAAACTAGCAAAAAACAGACCTGACTAATAAGCCAAAAGTTAATTTTTGTATAAGATCAAAGGTCTAGTCTAGAAAGAAAAAAATGACATTAATTATAAGAAATTGGTTTAAATACAAAGACCTTTTAAATCAAGAAAGAATGTTGTAAGGAATATTTTACATTCAGAACTATAAATGAAATGGAAAAAGTTCTAGGAATACTGTCAAAGTTCATCATACAAATAGAACTAGTAAATTGGCAGAAATGTCTTAGGTCTGTTCGTAAAAATATTCCCAGATCAGGAATCCAGTAGCATGGACATAAATCACAGTACTTACTAGAGCTATGATTGTGGGCACATTCTCAACTCTTCTGAACCTCAGTAGCTTCTTTGCAGTATTATTTCCATGCAGTATTATATCCTTGGATTAAATCAAGTGTTTCAAAGTATTGAATTGTTTCTTTAAAAGACCTCTCCAAAATGCATAGTTTTGTTTTTATTTTAATTGTAGTTTAGGTAGCATGGTTAAAAGGATGTTAAAATGTTATGGTTCTTGTGTTATTGCTATTGTACTTTCTCCTTTAGTTCTTATAAATGGAAAATATCTGCCTGTAAATTGTGCCAATTGAGTGATCTCAGAAGTCCCTCTGTTCACTCGCTCAAGAGTGTAAAATCGTGCCTGTGAAGCCTTGGGCACTCGGTAGCTCATCCGTGTGCACACAGTTGACTCTGGCAGGATCATCCCAAGGAGGGTGGCACTCAGTGCTTACTCAATGAACAAGACAAATGATGAGCATGAGGCCTTGCAGAGCATGAGATGTGTGTGTGTGTCAGAGGACATTGAGATGGACACACCTAAGAGCGGACACCTAAACGGGAATTGCATAAGGCAAGTCATGGCAAGATGAGTTTTTTTTCTTTAGTAAAGAACTGTGCTGTTCTCTTCCGGGAGCTGGGTTTTATAGTCTCTGAGTCTTGGCTGTTGATGGGATTACACAACACCGAGGGGGGGGGAGGGGGAGGTGCAGTTGGTGGGTGTGACCCCTGCCTACTGGAAGATGGAGGATCTGGGTAGAGGATGCTCAGCCCCGATCCGAGCAGGCTTGGAGATCTCAGCCCCGGGGCCCCGGCGAGGACAGCCAGGCGCAGGAGCAGGAGATTCTGCTGTCCTCGCCGGGGCCCCTTGGAGGGGGGCAGGTTGAGTTTCCCTCCCTGCCCTGAGCAGAGCCCCAGCAGCCGAAGACCTCCAGAACCAGCCACAGCCATGCTGAGACCACTCTCCACATGCATGAAGGTACCGGCAGAGGAACAAAGGCATGCGGGTCCCGAGGCTGAGATCTCCAAGCCTGTTCGGATCGGGGCTGAGCATCCTCCACCCAGATACTCCATCTTCCAGTAGGCAGGGGTCGCACCCACCAACTATCCCCCGGCACCGTGTAATTCCCACCAAGGGCCAAGACCCAGAGACTATAAAACCCAGCTCCCGGAAGCGCACAGCTGCATTCACACTGAGACATCTTGTTATCTCATTCTTACTTTGGACAACCTGGCAGGCTACCGAATGTAACCTGCCCACACAGCAGTCTGGCAAATCCCCCGTGGTGTACCCAATATGCCAAATACCAGTAACAATGATGGGTCTCATTCTCCTAACCCTGAAAGAGCCTTGAATATGGCACTTTTTAAAATCTCAGGGCTAGGGCGAAGGAGACGTTACTGGGGCCTGCTCGAGGCAATCAATGAACAACAGGATGATCGTGATCGTGATCATGAGTAAAGAACTAGAGTGAGACGTAGAGATGTTTTCATGAGTCCGTGCAGGGATCAGACACCAGCAGAGACACACTTTGTACTTTAGGCCACATCCTCAAGGCGTAGAGCTCTGGGAACCTCCTCAGTGCTTCAGGTTTGTTTGCGTGGAGTTTGGGAAAGGACACATGCAGACCATGCCATGGATTGGAGAACTGCGTGCAAATCATGCAGTGCATTGGAGAACTCCTGCATACAAACCATGCAGTGCCTTGGGGAACTCCTACGTGCAAACCATGCAGTGCATTGGGGAACTCCTGGGTGCAAACTATGCAATGCATTCAAGAACTCCTGTATGCGAATCATGCAGTTCAGCCCTTAGAACCATCTCCCCAGCCCCAAACATACTTTCCCATGTCTGTCGTTACATATTTTGGGTGGGTTTCCAAACCAGATATTTTTGTTTTCCAACAAATATGTTTTTGCCACTCCATTTTCATGTCTCAAAAATAAGTGAGTCCTTATTTAATGAAATGTAGTAAAATCGAAGTCAGTAAATTCCCATTTAATTAAGGCCCACTTAAGTCGAAGCTACGACGGGTGGCTTTCCAGAGCGGAAGCAGCTCTCGCTGTACTAACCTGTCCCTTTTGTTTCCGGTAGAACCTCCATACTTGGGATTTCCTTCGGAGCTGCGTTTCTCCTGCTCGCCTTTATCCTTTTCGTCTGCTTTGCTGGACAGCTTTTGGTAGGTACTTCAAATACAAACCGTCTTAGGAAAGTGTACTTGTATAATGGAAGCTGATTTCTTGCTTAGAGCAGAGTTTGTTGACTCAGCATTTCACAAGACATTGACCCCCTGAAGAGCCAGCACCTCAAGTCAGCATCCCAGAAATGTCAACTGAGGCAGCACATGCACAACAAAATACTAACTTAAGTATTAGTTGAGATGTCCCTGCACATCAGAGAGACCTATCCCGGCATAACCACCCCGCAGGAAGTGTCTGGGCGCCATCAGTCGTCCTCCAGTCTCACCTTCCCGGCCAAGAGTCATTCCTGACCAGCCCTAACTGGGATCGGGCCAGGGCAGAGCAGAGTTGGAAAGATGATAGGTCAGTAATGCTAAGATAGGTCAGTGATTGGACACATAAGGGCTGGAGTGATAGCACAGCAGTAGGGCATTTGCCTTACAAGCGGCCAACATGGCCGACCCAAGTTCGATTCCTCCGCCCCTCTCTGAGAGCCTGGCAAGCTACTGAGAGTATCTCGCCCGCACGGCAGAGCCTGACAACCTCCCTGCAGCTTATTCGATATGCCAAACACAGTAGCAACAAGTCTCATGATGGAGACGTTACTGGGCCTGCTCGAGCAAATCCATGAACAACGGAAGGACTGTGACCATTATTACATCATGAATTTGTTCTCGTGTTAATTCCTGCAAATATTTTTTTCAGCAAGGTTTTCGGAGTTTACAGCAGGAAATAGAAGTATAATAGAAGACTATTAGTGTAGGGCAGTGAAAATTCATACCAAATCTATCTTTTATGTGCACTTTCAAGGTATAAACATTTGGAACATATGAAAAGAGCAAATGTCAACGTATCTTTTTATTAGTGTTTTGACTTATTTGGTTTTAAACTTTATTTAAACATTGTGTTTTATAAGGTTGTTCCTAGTACAGTTGTTTCAGGTATGCAATATTCCAATGCCAATCCCACCACCAATATCACCTTCCCCTTACCCTTGGTCCTGGTCCTGCTTCCCACCCACTCCCAGATTCTGCCCCCTTAGCAGGCACAAAATAATTGATTTTATATTGCTTGTTACAACAAAATAGCTAATGGGATTCCTGAAAAGTACTTCAGAGAAAGAAATGTATAAAAATGGTTCTATCCCACAGTGGGGCCATTAAGTCCTTGTCTGAGGGTTTGCTGAGCTGTTGTTGCTAGTTGAGCCTTCTGTGTTATTGTTTCTGTTCACTGAGCTGAGTTGGTTTCTATGCTGCTTTCCCACTGAATTTGCTGTGCTCCTCCTACTCCGTCAATATTGTAGAATTTGGAGCCATTACATGACCACGTGCTCCAAAAACTCCAGGATCTGCAGACCTGGGCCAATGAGTTTCGGCCACTTGGCTTGGCATGGCTTGGCTAGCCTTGCATCTCTTCTGAGACTGGTGTGAAGCTATAAAGCTGGCCATTTACCTGACAGCAGAGGTGGGGTGTGGCTGGCAACTGGGGTTCCGGCAGTATGAGGTTGGGGAGGCTAACCATCCACCCACACACACACTCTGAGAAGACCCGAGAAGTTTTTCACCTTGAAAACCAGAATCCCTGGAATTGCCATCTGCCTGGCATCTCTGCAGAGATGCGTCGTGAAGCTGGGACGTTTGCATGGTGACAACTAGGGGACATGGGTGCAGCTGTTGGAACTGTGACTGGGGAGGGATTAAGGACCCCCCCCAACAAGGGCACCGCAGAGCTTTCTGCCCCCAACCCAATGCCCTGTTGGTTTCAGTAGCCCAGCTGTCCCTGTTCAGGTTGAATCCCAGTCTGAGAAGCTGAGCCCTTGTTCACATAACTGCAGCTGTAGGGGATCGAAAGCTTTCATTTAAATTAGTCATTAAGCTCATGGTTTAAATGCCAATTCTGGATCAAAAAAAAAAATTCAAACCTGTGTTTTTGAGATTAAAGCTTGTGCTGCTGGTCTCAGCCCATGGAGGATCTGAGGCTCCAAATGTGATGAAGTCCCCCAAATAGTCCAGGTTCCCTTCTGTCCACTGGTGATTGGTCGAAAGGGAAGGGGCCAGGCGGAGCCGATGTGTGAGCAGGCATTGTGAGAGTTCTCGGGAGATGCACCATTCTTTTCCCCCCCCTGGAAAATAAAAGGTGAACATTACTATCACTGCTGGCACAGAGGAAATAGGAACCACTCTGCGCGTTCGTGGGCGGGTGTGCGTTCAGAGTTCCTGAGACTGACAGAGCAGTTTGAGCACCATGCTCAAACTCTGCTCTCCTCTTTTTGCAAATCTTGGTGAGCCATGAGGTGACTCAGTGAGAGGACTGACCTCGCCTTCGGGGCTCTGCAGGCCCGGGGTGCCCTGTCCACCCTGCATGTGTCTCCCTTCCCATGGCTTCTTCGTGGCAACACTGTTTTTCTTCCGGGATGACAAATGCTGGCCCCGAGCCCCTCGGCCCCTTCAGCCCCTGGCCTCCCTCAGACGCTCTGAGACAAGCAGCCCTGAGACCCCAGCTGCCCACTGTTGGCCAGTCTCCCATGCTGGGGGAAGAACTAAAGCATGAAGATGCCCAAGCTGTCTTCTATCTCTCCACAAGGAATATTTCTTCCCCATCCTTGGACCCTTGCAAACAGGGACGAAGCTTTGTTTACCAGGTGACCGATGCAGTGCTGCAGATTGGACCAGAGCATCCGACAGAGAGAGAGACTGTGATTTCTGACTGCCATGAGTTGACAGCCTTCCCGTCCACCCAACACCTCCTGAAGCTGTGATGGGTCCTCAGCAGGGAGGGGGTGGACAGAGTCCCTTGGGGTCTGTGTCCCTCTCAAGAAGGCTTCGGGGGCCAAAGAAACAGCTTTTCCACATTCAGATTTCACCAGGGTGGAGTACCTGGCCTCCCCCTTCTTTTTCCTGGCCCCCCCCAAAGGGCTTCTGTAGCCTCTTGTTCGCCTCTCAGAACAGGATTGTCATTTGAGGTGTCCCTCGGCCACTGGGGTTCTTATTCTCCAAGCACAGAGCTTAGTCTTGTGACCCCCCCCAAAAAAAAACAAAAAAAATGGTTCTAGAAAAGATGCACAGGCTGGAGACTGGACAAGTCGCTGCAGACGGCTGTGCTGCCTCAGTGGGGTGCCCTGCCCTCCCTCCTCCTCCCCTGCCAGCCTCGGGGCACGTCCTTGCGGGTAACTCCCCTCAGCCCTCCTTGTTTCATGACACCTTCTGGGAGATCAGGATCAGACAAACACAGATCCCCACTGCCCAACTCCTGAAAACGCTTCTGAACTGGGCATTGGACAGAGGGGTCCTACTGCCTCCCTCCCCGGGGCTGGACACTGGGCTTCGGCAGATACAGATACAGCTGGACTTCCTGCTCTCACTGTGGGACCCCCAGGGCCTAACAGCCAGATGCGAGCCCGGCTCCCAGGAGCATCCTGGTAGGAGGCAGGAAGTCTCGTCAGTCCAGCTCCCTTTCTTCTCGTGAAGCCATCCTGTAGGAATGTTCAGCAGCCGACATGAAACGAACACTCAGCGCAAGGGATTCTTGAATGGGCTTCCCATCCCATATTCTACAGGGGTGGGATTCTGGGGTAGACTGAGGTAGGCTGATTGACAAATATGGTGGTTATGAACGAGCTCTCTACATGTAACAGACTTACCTTCTGTCAACACTGTTGAACCTTCGGAGATGTTAAATACCTTTAAGCACTGTTGATGCTAAGAGTATCCTTTGGATTCTCTCTACCAAGAGTTAAAATAAAATACTGGCCTAAAGGAAGTTGAGACAAATCTAAGCATTTTCTTCCAACATCTTTTCCTGGCTTTCTGCTGTGGCACTTGAAGCTCAATGCCAGTAAACAAAACTGATTCATTATTGTATAAGTAAAGTAAAGGCCCTCCCGTTGATCATCGATTTGCTCAAGCAGGCCCAGTAATGTCTCCATTGGAGACCTTGTTGTTACTGTGTTTGGCATATCGAATACTCCACGGGGAGCTTGCCAGGCTCTGCCGTGCGGGCGAGATACTCTCGGTAGTTTGCCGGGCTCTCCGAGAGGGGCGGAGGAATCGAACTCGGGTCGGCCATGTTGGCTGCGTGCAAGGCAAACGCCCTACCGCTGTGCTATCGCTCCAGCCCTTATTGTATAGTTGCCTTAAAATTAAAAAGGAAACGGTTGAGATAAACCATCGCATACAAAAATAAAGAGTGAGAAGGAGAAGCTGTTTTGTGCCTCGATGGAAAAATCATGCAGTTTCTTGTTGAGAGCAGTTGTATTTGCTCGGTGACAAGTTCGGGAATATAGTCAGGGGGTGAATTTCTCTCCATCATAACAAACAGGAAGCCAAGACAGACCCGCTCCCCTCTGCCCTCCCAGCGTTCCCTTGTCCAAGAAGAAACCCCCTCACAGTTCCCATCCCTCATGCCCCTACGGGAGGCTTCAGTACAGCTTGTCTCTCGCAGGCATCCCGCCCACCCCTGTGGTAAGGCCTCCCTGGGGCGGGGGGGGCACTGTGGGGTCTGCAGGCTTTGGCCCTCCAGGCTGCTCTGCCTTCTTTTTGGCCACTGACTTTGTTTTGTTGTGAGTTTCTTTATATGTCGTTGGCTCCTTAAGATGACAACTGTTGGGGCCAGAGCAATAGTACAGTAGGTAAGGCATTTGCTTTGCATGAGGCTGACTCGGGTTCCATTCCCAGCATCATAGGGTTCCCCAAGCACCGCCAGGAGTAATTCCTGAGTGCAGAGCCAGGTGTAATGGAGTAACCCCTGAGCATCGCCAGGTGTGACCCAAAAAGCAAAAACTAAAAAGAAAAATTTAAAACAAAGATGAGAATTGTTGGACTGCAGAGACAGTACTGTGGGGAGGGCATCTGTCTTGCAAGCAACCGACCTGACTTCCGTCCCCAGCACCCCATCTGGTCCCCTGAGTGATCCCTGAGTGCGGAGCCAGGAGTAAGCCCTGAGCATCTCCAGGTGTGGCCCAAGAACAAACCCCAAAGGACACGCTTTGGCCCCTGCACTT